GATACAATGGTTATGCATTTCATATTAAGGTTAAAAAAGGCATATAGAAACCCAAACGACACATCACTCCATAGATAAAGCTCCACTCAACCCGAGTCATAAGCATTTTCCATGTCAAGTTTGATAGCGACCCCTTTATTAGGTCCATTCCTAGATCCTTTTAAATAATAGAACAGTTCATGTGCCACAAAACAATTATCATAAATAAGAAGCCCTAGAACAAAGGCACATTGGTTCTCTGACATACAAAGTTGCATAAAAGGCTTAAGACGATTCACAATAGTTTTTGAGACCACTTTGTAAATGACAGAACAAAGACTAATAGGGCGAAAGTTTTTCATATGAACAGGATTGTCAATTTTAGGAATAAAAACGATAAAATTATTGTTGACTTCATCAAAAATAACAGTCCCATTAAGCAAACCAAGACACAGAGATAAAATGTCATCACGTAAAACATGCCAGAAGAAACAAAAGAATCTAGCAGGAAACCATCGATACCGAAAGATTTTTTAGGGATAATTTGGAGGAAGGCTACGTGGACCTCCCCTACTGTAAATTCTTTGCAAAGGGTAGCATTGATCTTTGGGGTAATCTGCAGCTCTATGGTATTCAAGATCAACTCTGATGTCCTGGTTCTGGAAGACCTAAAAAGTATGGTAAAGAAATTGATAGCCACCTTAAAAACATCTTCAAGATCATCCTTACATTATTCTTGATCGTTACGGATCCCCCGTACCTTGTTTTTTCCTACTTCCGTTAGCTTAAGGAAAGAAGAACTTTGAGTTTCGGTCACCCTATTTCAGCTATTTAACTAGTGATTTTTGGAGCCACATAATCTCTTTTTTTTTATCAAGAATGTCGTTTAATTCAGCTCGGACATTCACTAGATTTCCATGTTGGGTGCAATAACGGGGGTGGAGGAAAGTTTGGAGATCCGCTCTTACAGCTAAGATTTCTTGGCTTTTTTCAATGTTCATGTGTTTCTGCATGAGTTAAATTTGGCTCCCAAAACCCTCATTTTATCAATCCTAGACCCTTGTTAATCATACCAAGTGAATTGGACAATCTGTATATATTATTCTTCCTATGTCCAATAATTTTCAAAGTGGAAACTTATATTTCTCCCACCACCTCGTCTCATCTCCATACACCATAGCGAGCTAAGAAACTCTAGCATGATCAAATTCACTTGTAAGCACTGTAGAGACAAAGATGTTAGGGAATGTTGTTAACCAATCTCTTGAAGCAATAAAACGATCCATTCGTTCTCGAATATGTTTATACGCTTGATTTCCAAAGAAATAAGTAAACTACCCACGATGGGGTCTAACGTCATGGAGCCCATTTCGTTATAGAGATTCTTTGAAACATAGGAGTTCCCTCTCAGATTTCTTTCTCCTTTCCCACCTTCTCAATTTTGTTTTTTAATGTGAAGAAGAGATGGAACGTTGTTTCTGGAAGAACAAAAATAGATCTGCTTACTAAAAATCAGAAATGCTACAGTTTTTAAAGCAAAAACACAATATGATCCTAAACTTTCTCCATGTTTAGAGATCATGAATAACATAATAACTACTTCCTAAAAAATAGGAAAAACTTTGACACAATCAACTTAACAAACAAACATTAAAACGTGTGGACTTGTTTCAATCCTGAAGCAGTCTTCTAACACTTTTCCTTGCTTTAAGAGCTGCAACATCAAGTTTTGACCTCAAAAACTCGAACGTGCAAGCAAACAATGGTTTGGTTAAAATGTCTGCAACTTGATCTTCTGTTTTGAAGTAGACAAGAATCATATCTCCATGATTTTGTACTTCTCTTAGGAATAATAACTTGATGTTGAAATGTTTAGTCTTCCCATGAAACACAAGATTATGAGAGACAGCAATAGCAGCTTGGTTTTCAACAAAGATCTTTGTGCATTCCTTTTGCTTTAGATCAAGATCAAGTAAAATCTTCCTTAGCCATAAAGTTTGATTAACAGTAGCTGTTGCAGCAATAAACTCTGCTTCGGCAATGGATTGAGCTACAATTTCTTGTTTCTTTGAGCTCCAAGAGAAAACACCTGAGCCAAGAGTAAAACAGTAGCCTGAAGTGCTCCTCATATTATCAATGGAACCTCCCCAGTTACTGTCAAAAAACCAACCAACTTGAACTCCTTGCACCTTTTGAACTTAATACCAAAATTACTTGTGCCTTTGACATATCGAATCACTCTTTTGATATCCTTAAGATGTAATTCACTTGAACAATGCATGAATCGAGACAAAATACTTACAACATTCAAAATATATGGCCTTGTTCCATGAGATACATCAAGCAGTCAAACTCGTGAAATATCCTTCATCAACTTTGTCAGCACCATCTTCTTTGCACAACCTCTCCCTTTGATTCATTGGAGTTATTGTTGCCTTGCACTCTTCCATTTGAAACTTCTTTAGTATTTTCTTTGCATATTTTTTTGACAGATAAAACCTTCACCTTGCCCTTGCTTAATCTCCATGCCAAGGAAGTAGAAATAAACCTGAGATCTGCCATTTCAAACAACTTCATCATCTCTTGTTTGAAATTTTGAATATGATCTGTATTATTTCCTGTAACCAGTAGGTTATCAATATACAGTGAAAAAATAAGAATGTCAGTACCATTGTGCTTGACATACAAGGTTGTTTCTGATGGACTTTTCACAAAACTAAAGTTCAGCAAATGTTCATCAATTTTACTATACCAAGCTCTTAGAGCTTGTCTTAGACCATAAAGGTCCTTTTTTAGAAGATAGACTTTATCTACTTCACCTTCCTTCAAAAATCCTTGGGGCTGCTCCACATAAATTTCTTCCTGTAAGACACCATTTAAAAAGCCGATTTGACATCAAACTGGAACACTTTCCATTCCTTTTGTGCAACTATTGCAAGCAGTAACCTGATTGTGTCCAATCTAGCAACAGGAGCAAAATTATCAGAGTAATCAACACCAAAGATTTAGGCATACCCTTTAACCACAAGCCTAGCTTTGTGCTTATTGATCGAGCCATCGGCGTTAAGCTTGGTTCTAAACACCCACTTAACTCCAATTACCTTCATGTCTTAAGGTTGTCCACAAGGATCCAAGTCTTGTTTTTCTCTATCATTGATAGCTCCTCCTCCATTGCAGCTATCCACCTTTGATCTTTTTTTGCTTCGACATAGTCGGTAGGCTCATACACAGCTATATTGCACCTTTCATAAATATCTAAGAGCAACATTGTTCCTTTCATGAGAGCATTATCCACTGTTTCATTCTTCCAGTCATCTTCTTCGTCAATGCTTGAACCAGAAAACTTGTGATTTAGCTCTGCCACAGCCTGGCCCTTCTTTTCTACATCATCCTAGCTCCACTCTTCATCCTCCACAAAGTGAACATCTCTGCTAATAATAAATTTCCAATTTGTGGCTGGAAAATTTTATAGACCTTACTGACAGTACTATAGCCTATAAAGATACCTGGTGAAGCTTTCCTATCAAGCTTGTCACGCTTGCTCTGTGGAACATGAGTGAAACACAAGCAACCAAATACTTTAAGGAACTTCAGAGATGGTTTGTAACCATACCATGCCTCAAATGGTGTATGTTCCTTCACTGCATTTGTGGGAAGTCTGTTTTGAAGAAACATAACAGTATTTGATGCCTCTGCCCAAAACTTCTTTGGAAAATTCGTTTCATGCAGCGTGCATCTTGACATTTCCATGATGTATCTATTTCTCCTTTCACTAACTCCATTTTGTTGAGGTGTGTAAAGAGCTATAAGTTGATGCTCTATGCCTGAATCTTCACAAAACTTGTTAAATTTTGCGGAAGTATACTCCTTCCCATTGTCAGACCTTAAAATATGAATTTTGTAGCCACTTTCATTCTCAACTTTTGCTTTGAATTTCCAAAAATACTTGAGCTACTTCTGATTTAAACTTGAAGAAAAATATCCAGCACATTCTTGTGAAGTCATCAATAAAGGTAATATAATAGAGACTACCTTTTAAAGAAGGTGTTCTTTGAGGGCCTGAAAAATCCGTGTGCATGAGCTTTAATTTGTGAGTGGCTCTCCATGTTGACTTCGAAAACGGCTTCCTTTTTTTGCTTTCCAAACTGACATGCTTTACATTCTTGAGATTGGATCACTAAGTTTGGGAACATCAAGTGCCAACTCCTTCTCTCTTAGTTGCAATAGCCCTTGATGATGATAGTGTCCGACTCTCTTATGCTAAATTTGAGTGACATCTTCTTTGAGTGAAAAAACATATTGTTCCTCCTGTAAAGGATTGAGTGAAAAAATCTTTCCTTTCATTTTTACTTTGAAGATATCTTGATTAGTTGCATCCTTAATCAAGCAATATTCATCTTCAAAAATAACTTTAAAGCCTTTTTCAATTAGTTGGCCCATAGTCAATAGATTTTGGTCAATTTCAGGAACAAAGAGAACATCTTGTATAAGTTTTGTACCTACATAGCTTGCAATCGCAATAGTCCCCTTTCCTTTGACAGAGATATAGTCCCCATTACCAATTCTAACTTTGGTGATGTTAGTTGGCTTCAAATCTCTAAACAACTCCTTGTCATGAGTCATATGGTTGGTACAGCCATTATCAATCAGTCAGCTTTCATTTGATTCACTTCCCAAGAAATATGTAGCGACAACATTTGATCATCTTCCTATTGATCTGCAACTTTAGCTTCTTCCTTTTGCTACTGATTTTTGTTTCTTCATATGTTAGCTTTGTGCCAGGTTTGATTGCATTTGTTGCATCTTGCATCAGCTCTCCTCTAACATTTGAAAGGGGGATGACCCTTTTTATTGTAGTGATGACACAGAGGATACTCCTTATTCACACCTGGTTTTCTGTTTCCAGTCATGGTCTTGCTCTCTGTTGTTGAGTTTTCTCCTTTTGTGTGAGGCTGCTTGAATTTATGCTTCCTATTCTTGCCATTATTGTGATACTTGGCTGCTAGGGCTCCTTCAATAGTTCATTCTTGTCTCATTGTACGCCTCTGCTCTTGTGCTTGCAAGGCACTCAAGAGTTCTGCCAGAGGAATATTGAACAAGTCCTTGGTATTATCCAAGGTGGTAACAGTAGCCTCAAATTTTTCAGGCAATGCTATAAGGATTTTCTCCACAATCCTCAAGTCTGCCAGAGATGATCCCAACAAACGGAATCGGTTTGTTATGCTGAGAAATCTTTCAGCATACTCCTTGACTGTCTCAGTTTCCTTCATCTTTTGTAACTAAAAATCATGAACTAAATTCAGCACCTGCATCCCACGAATTCTCTCATCTCCTTCGTACTCAGCCTTGAGATAATACCATATCTCCTTTGTTGACTTTAGAGACATAATTTGGGTAAAAATGGTGGCTAAAACTGCAGTAAAAAATAGGGTTTTGCCTTAGCTTTTTCATCTTCTTTTCCTTATGTGCTTTGATCTGAGCCAAAGTGGGATTGACTGGAATTTCTAGAACTATGTAGTCCTCTTCCACTGCTTCCCAAAGATCCAAAGCCTCCAAATACGTCTCCATACGAACTGCCCACATTTGGTAGTTTTCTCCATCAAACACCGGTGGAGAAATTGAAGAAAAACTTGCTTCAACTTTCATGGCGTGTCAAAGTCACTCACATGTCCCTTAAGAAAAGATCTCTGATGCGAATTGTTTTTTGTTAATGTGAAGAAGAGAAGGGACATTTCTTCTTGAAGAACAAAAACAGAATTGCTTACTAAAAATAAAAAACATTACAATTTTTAAAGCAAAAACAAAAAACTAACCACTAATAATATGATCCTAAACTTTCTCCATGTATAGAGATTATGAATAACATAATAACTACTTCCTAAAAATAGGAACAAACTTTGACACAATCAACTTAACAAACAAACATAAAAACGTGTGGACTTGTTTCAGTCCTGAAACAGTCTTCTAACACTCATAATGAGATATGATTATGTTAAAATCGCCTCCAAGCAACCAAGAGAGTCGGGACCTATTCCAAATCTTGTCATTTAAGGCCCAACTCTCATATTTCTCTCTCTCTCTCTCTCTCATGTTGCTTGCACCATAGAATCATATAAACCATAACTTCTCTTCATTTTTCTCCAAGATAGCATCGATATGCCAATATAAGGTTCACCAGCTTCAACCACTAGATTACCCATCATGTCAGTCATCGATCAAATATCATCAACTTTATATTTTTTTATAAACATGTTTCATTGAGAAAAACCATATTTGGAACATATGACTTCACTAGTCGCTTTAATTCTCAAAACGTCGAGGGGTTCCCCAGCCCCCGACAGTTCCAAACCAAGATAATCATGGCTCTCGATGGGGTTGTATCACAGCCTTCGTCGTTGGAACAATGGAAATGGTCAATGGTTTTAAATATAACTTGCCTTCATCTTCTCTCTACTTTTTTGAGCAGGATGTTTCATAGCTGTTGGGTTTAACCCCTCGAGATTTCCTTGTAGAGAGCATTTCACTATCTTTCCTCTTTCCAACACGGTTTTACCTTGTTGAATTTCCTCTTGTAACTTTTCTTCATGATTCGATGTGATTGTTCCCTCTTATTTTTTGCCCTAAACATTTTCTTCTCTGATGTTATCCTTGTTCTCAAAGGCAAGTGTTTTTCCCTCGCCCCTTGCTTGGTCAATCTTCTTGAGCCCTCTTATTTTTCTGGAGAGAAAAGAACTATCAGATTCAGGTGACACCATTAACCATTTTCCATAGTTTGATTTTATGCTTTCAGCCACTTCTTTTGATGGGCTAAGATCTTTCATATGTCATATAGTGCCACATCTAACACAAAAATTGGGAAACCTCTCATACTTGTTAATCCTTACCCTAGGTATACCGTCTGCTTTTTTCTGAGGCTGATAAAATGTCTTAATGGGATAGTATTATCCTCCACTCGAAGTCTAAGATAAACTTCCAATTTTTCATTTTTTTCTCGTATGTCGACTACCAGTATCTTCCCTATAATGTACCCCAATCTCTCTCCATCTTGCTTATTCATCTATCCCAAAGGTACCCTATAAATCTGAAGCTATATTGTAAGAACCTTAAAGTTATATTCATCAAGACTTAAGTTATCATCATATTCATTCAAAGCCAACCAGTCGTCATTAAATAACCATGGAGCCCTTCTGAAGACCTCTTGTTTGTCGACTTTAGTATTAAATTCGAATAAGAGCATATTTTTGTGGGGCACCCTACATTCTAAGAGCTTTAACATACCCTAAACAACTTTAAAGACCTTGATGATCGTCTCTCCATCTATTGGCTTGGGAGAGAAATGTTTGTATTGATTTATTTCTTTCCTCCATCATCTGGGTCTGCCTTTTGGAGGTCATGGTTTTCAATGAGCGTGGCTTTCTCTTATGTGAAGTGAACGTCCTCCATGAGATTAAGAATTTCCTTTACCATCTACGATCGTAACTTTTTCTGATGGCAACAATGAATGTACCTATTTTCCCCTTGAAATTGAGATATTTGGGTTAGGAGAAGAGACTTTAGAAAAATCCACATGGGATAAATACAATTTCTTGTGTGTTATTTGATCTGCACACCGCTTGAAAAATTATGGCTCGTCCCAAAAGTAGAATCTTGCATCGTGCCTAAATCTCTTATTTCTCTGGTTGTTCATGTCATAAGGCAAAATAGCACTAACTAGAAAATTAACAATGTCAGTGTACCAAAGAATTGTTGTGGCGTATAAGATTTTCTCATAATGAAATTCTTCTTAAATTTCCAAATTATCATGATATTTTGAATTGTTCTCTAGCCTGGAATGATAATCAACAACTTGGTTCTCAGTATCTTTCCTATCTACAATCTCTAAGGTTAATCGCAAGAGTAGTATCCACCTAATAAGTCTAGGTTTGGCATCATTCTTATTCATTAAGTATTTGATAGCTGAGTGATCAGTATGAATAATAACTTTCAAATGAAAATATCACGACAAGTAATTCTTTCTTAGTAGTGGTATATTTAAGTTGTGCATCATTCAATGTGCATCTAGCATAATAGATGACATGAAATATTTTACCTCGGTGCTGCCCTAAAACTGCCACCAAGGCATAATCTCTTGCATCACACATCAGCTCGAATGGTAGCGTCCAATCGGGGGAACAATAATAGGTGTTGAGATAAGGCTCTGCTTCAACACTGTAAATGCACCAAGACAAAATTTATAGAACATAAAAGGCTAATTTTATTGCAGCAAGGTGTACAAGGGCTTGGAAATTTTGGATTAGTCCTTAATGAACCTCCTATAGAAACCATTGTGTCCAAGAAAACTCCTAATGCCCTTGACAGATGTTGGTAGAGGTAACTTCTCAATCACCTCAATTTTAGCTTTATCAACCTCAATATCTTTGTGTGAAATCTTGTGGCCTAATATAACGCCTTCAGTCACCATGAAGTGACATTTTTCCCAATTTAACGCAAGGTCAGCCTCTTTACAACACTTCAGAACCTTCCTCGGATTTCCAAGACATTTTCCAAAGTTGTCTTTAGAGACGGAAAAATCATCTATGAAAATTTCTAGAAAATCCTAGACTATGTTAGAGAAAATGGATTGCATACAACATTGAAATATTGTTGGAGCATTACATAGACCAAAGGGCATTCATTTAAAAGAATAAGTTCCATAAGGACATGTCTAACCCGCAAAGTATTAGATATTAGGTAAATCACCCCCAGTGTCAAGCAACTTGATAATTTCTTTCATGACCACTTTTTTCATGACAGGGTTTAGCCTTATTTGTGGCACTATGAAATTACAATGATATTTTTCTAGCGGAATTTTGTACATATAAATGGTTGAACTTATCCCCTTCAAATCTACCATAGTCTAACCCAATAGTTAGAAAACTTTGTTTGTAGTAAGGTTGAAGACTAGAGGAGATAATCATCAATAATGTTTCATTATCACCCAAGTAAGCATATTTGAGATGTTGTGTTAAAGTTTTCAACTCTAATGTAGGCACATATTGCAATGAGGGCTTAGGATGAGTAAATTCAACAAAATCATGAGGTTCATAGCACAAATCGGGTCTAGCTTAGAGTAAGCTAGACTGATGTACCTCCAAGGGAAATTTCTCAATCTTCTCTTTGTTTCCTCTTCCAAGATCTCTTCATAATCATTTAGTTGTATGAGATTGTTGTGGAAATATTGTTTTACTTCCCCTTCTATCACTGAGTTCATTTCCAAAATGCTCTGACATTCCTCAGAATCATCACATACTTGAGAGAATGAAAGAAATTCATGGTCATATTCTAATCAGCTACTCACATAGTGAATTCACCCTTCTCACAATCAATAAGGATGTAACATGTGGCTGGGAAAGGTTTCCCCAAAATTATGAGTGCATTGGCTTCAACCTCACAATCAAGTATAAGAAATTTGGTTGGGAACAAAAATTTATCCACCCGCACTATGACATATTTGATATTTCCCTCGGGACAAACATGGGATTGATCGGCTAATTGCAAAATAACAGAGGTAAACATGGCATTTCCTATCCCCAACTTCAAAAATTTTGACTTGGGTATTAGATTCACAATTGATCCAAGGTCACACAATGCTTTCCTAATATAGTTGTCTCCTATAGAATAGGGAATAATGAAGCTTCCAGGATCTTTTTGCTTTAGCATCAGTTTTCTCAATGCTGAACGAAATTCATTCATTGTGTCAATTGTCTCAAACTTCTTGATTTTCTCTTCTTGGTAACAACTTCCTTGAGAAATTTGGCATAAGTGGGCATTTTTTCAATGTCCTCCAAGAGTTGGACATTGATATAAAGTTGGTCAGGAATGTCAACGAATTTATTAAACTGAATATCATCATTGTGCTTCTTCAGTCTTTAGGGAAGGGTGGTGGGGATCTGACTTCTTCTACTGATAGTGTGGGAACAACTTTTGTTGTGGCATTTTTGTTTACTCCCTCAGTATATTCACTTATTGTGCCCTCATCGTTCTCCTTCTCCTTGAGAATCTCTTCTTGCACATCTAGTTCTTCTTGCACATTCATAAGGGTGGATTCATCTTTCTTCTTTCCCCTAAACATGTCTTTTTGATTAATTTGGTGCCACTCCTTAGTGTCAGTACACTACATTACTCCTTTCTATGAGGTTTAGTGACTTTAATATCACTGGGAAGATGACCTGACTGACATTCTTGTAATATCATGACAATTTGGCCAACCTAATCCTCCAAAGCTAGCGGAGATGTGTTGTGACTTTGCAACAATGTTCCTTGATTCTTGATAGCTACTAAATGTTCTTGCAGCATAGTTCTTATGCCTGCTATAAATTCTTGCATAGTAGCCTCTAGAGAACTTGTATTCGATGAAATGTTGCCCCATTGGTAGAATTATGCCAAGGCATATTTGTTTGAAAACCATGGGGCTCGTTTACATTCTGTTGTCGAGCGAGATGACTAGATTATTGGCTCCTTGATTCCCTCATGAGAAATTTGGGTGTTGACGCCATCCTAAGTTGTAGGTGACTGAGTAAGGGTTTTTTTTTGTTGATTTGATTGTAATTCCCCACAAAGTTGATCTTGATTTTCAGGGCATTCACTTTTTTGGTGGCATAACAGAT